AGCACTTCTTGGGCTGATGTGTGTGTCCTAGCGGTAGGAGGAAGGGCTTGCTGGTGGCTGCCTAAATGCATTCATGCATGCAGGCCTATAAATGCTTCGCATGAACTTGCAAGAGGAGGGGTCAGTTGGCGATCTTAAACACACCCCTGCACTTAGCGTTTGCGGTTCATCGTATTGCACTTCCTGATTTTGTGCGTTCGGTTAAACAAATACATAAATAGATAAATAAATACATCTCTTAAACACGCCTTCTCTTTTTGCGATTCCGTTCACCGTATATCTGAAGCACGCACCCTCATTTGGGTGCTTTCGGTTAACTATATGTCTTAAACACACCTTTTCTTTTGGCGATTCCGGTTCACCGTATATCTCCAGCACGCCCCCTCATTTGGTGATTTCGGTTCATCACATGTATCTTAGATACGCTCCCTCATTTGGTGGTACCGAACATCATACCGGTTTGCCATATTTGTTAAGCGCACCGGCTCAGCAGGCAGGAGTAGTAGTAGTCGTCGTCGTCGTAGTCGCAGCTTGTTTCGGGCACTGGCATGTGTCTATTGGGAGATCACACAGGACAGGGGGTACGGTTTATTACCGGCGCCGTCGTGTGTATGATGTCAGGTCCAGATCTCACATCACGGGGGGCACGATTTGTTACTGGCATCGGCCTGTGTATGTTGCGAGATCACACATCACAGCGTGTACGACTTGTCACTGGCATCGGCGTGTGTTTGTTGCGAGATCACACATCACCGGGTGTACGATTTGTTGCGGGCATCGCGTGTGTCAGGTGTGAGATCACACATCGCAGGGGGGGGGGCGGTTTGTTACGGGCATCGGCGCGTGTATGTTGCGAGCACATGACAGCGTGTACGGTTTGTTACGAGCATCGGCGTGTGCATGTTGGCGTTACCGAGTCCAGGCCCTAAAATGAGGACGTGAACATGGTTTCAAACTCAAACTTTCAATGCGTTCAATCTTCAAACACTTCCAACTTACAAACCTTCAAACTCCCAGACTCTCAAACTTTGAAAATGTCAAGCATTCGAACTCCACGTCTCTCAAACTTTCAAACTTTCGATGATTTGAATATTTCAAGCCTTGAACCCCCCCAAGTTGAACATTTTCGACCTTTCAAGCTTTGAACCTTTCGAACTTTCAAACTTTCCAAGTCCCTGGGTTTCAATATTTCAAACTCCAAGCTCTCAAACTTTCGAACTCGAGCCTGAGGGCTGCTCTGTGAACCCCTACGCGTTCTCCAGCGGTCCTTCACCTTGCTCCCTCGGGCAACGCGATGCCGCGGCTTCAAACTTCCAAGCTGGCTTCCCGTTCAAGCTTTCAAACTCCAAACTCGCGTCCACGTTCAATTTCGAAACTCTCAAGTTTTCAAACTTCAAACTCTTGATTCTCCAAGCTTCTCCAATCTCGTCCAACATGTAATACGTTCAAACTATCAAAAATTCGAGTTCGAAAAGGCCCCATTCGTGACACCTCTCTTAAGCCCTGCCCCCCTCAACGCCAACTGGGAAGGAGCTGGGGCAGCCGTGGCTGGTGCCGGATGGAGCAGATGGCCCAGGAGCTCAGCCCCCTAAACCCTAAACCACCCTAAGCCGTAAGCCCTAAACTCTACGCCCTAAGCCCTTATGCCCAAGCCCTAAACCCTAAGCCCTAAACCCTAAACCCTAGACCCTAAGCCCTAAACCCTAAACCCTAAATCCTAACTTAACTAAGCCCTAAGCCCTAAACCCTAGACCCTAAGCCCTAAACCCTATACCCTAAATCCTAACTTAACTAAGCCCTAAGCCCTAAACCCAAATCCCAGGAGCTCAGCACCAAGGAGAGGTGTGTGTCCATCGAGACTCGGCCCTGTGAGTAGGCGTTTTTTCTTTGGGGTTTTTTTTTTTGGGTCATAGGGCTTAGGGCCCTAAGGGTTATAGGGTTATAGGGTTATAGTGCTCAGGGTTATAGGGTTATAGGGTTATAGGGCTTAGGGCCCTAAGGGTTTAGAGTTATAGGATTATAGTGCTCAGGGTTATAGGGAAGGGTTTAGAGTTATAGGGTTATAGTGCTCAGGGGAAAAGGATTGTAGGGTTATAGGTCTTGGGGTTACAGTAGCAGGCTACCATATAGGGCTATAGGGCTTATAAGGTTATAGGGTTATCACGGCTTAGGGTTTAGATGGGTGTTTCTAAAGGACCTCGTGCTCTTTTGCTTTGGTGCAAGTTACGTAGATTAAGTTGAAGCTACCATAGCTGACATACTTTGTCGGTCGAGTGACCGTTTTGTGAGGCTTACGGTTTAGTGTCAAGAAGCCTCTTTGTGTCCTAGAAGGGTTTTGTAGGGCTTGTCAGGCTTATAGTACAGGGTTCAGCGGCGAAGGGTTTAGCAAAGATTAGCAAAGCACCTTCAGCTAGTATAACGTAGATTGTAACTATCTGAATTAGGAGCCTTTGTAAGCCCAAAAGCCTCAATAAACCTAGGTCATAGTTGGGTAACATTTTACATTTTTGTGGGTACTTAAACCCAATAAGGAATACAGATTTACATTTTTAATCCTATCCCAACCATGAACTAGAAACCGTATCAGTCCAGTAAGCCCCACAAGGAGATACAAGGCGCTACACATGTGGTCGAGGCTCCAACATACGGCTGCTTGGTTCAAGAGTAGAAGCACAGCCCAGCTTTCAGCAGGATTTTGGAGGAGGACGCTGTGGGAACTTGTTCTTCCAGCTTTCCCGATTACGTTCACTGTTCACATCTGTAATAACTTTGATCTCTAGCGATGTGCAAGGGATTCTTGCTAAATGACACTACTCCCGCTGGTCACACGTGAAATGCGTCAGGGTCTGCAAGAATGCAGTTCCCATCTCCCGACGGTCAAGTGTTATGTACATTACCCTTCAATGTTTTCAGCTTCTCGCCTTCTCGCGGCTACAGCATGTGTGCTCTAACTCCAAGTCTATTCGCGGCAGTAGTTCTGAACAAGCAATCGACTGGAGATCGATTCATAGAAATACGCAGGGAGGAGGCGTGCTTTCGACCGACGCAAACGGTACTGCAGTTTGGGCTTGTCGTACTTCATGATGACCCTGTTTAGCTAGTACTCTACGATGCTCTACGATTATACCTTATATTTCTTTTAATTATACAAAACCAAAACTACGAATGTATTTGATTCAATGTTGCCCGGACTATTAGCTATTATGTTCCTGGGGTTCTTGCATTCAGTGTAAAGTAACTTGACTGAGTTTCGCACATGCACGCGGAGAAAGCTGTAAGTCTCCTAGGGAACTCCTGCTGTTCACTTGGTGTCTCCTCGTGGTCTCTTGGGGTCTCCTGGAAAGCTGCTGAAGCTCTGTGCCCTCATAAATGCCAGAAAGGTTACAGGTTACCTACTCAGCTACTAAGATCCCCTTATAGAATCCCTATAGACCCCTTAAAAGGAACCACCCTAGTTTTGCCAACTACCCATATAGGGCACTTTAGCTTTCCCCGAAACCCGAAACTGTAAATCCATGGCCTTAAACCCTAAACCCTAACTTCATTGGACCTGTGAAGGCTGGATGCAGTCACCTGTCGGAGGAGGTCAATTCACGTTGCAACGAGACCGTGAAAAGCTTGCTCCTGTCGTGCAGGATCTTGGTTCTTGTAGAGTGTGGAGTTCAGAGGGCATTCGTGGCGCGATTCTGTTCATGCCGGTTTCAAGCCCTGGCAGGACATGGTGCGTCGAAAGCTACATGCGTATCTTGCACGTGGAGATCTCGACAGCTATAGGATGATGCTAAACATGCAGAACGTCCACTACAGGAACCTCCCCATCAATCCTGTCGATGACCTTCTTCCGGGCTATGTTTCGGATCATCAAGATCCAGCAACCGTCGTGATGGAAAACTTCATGTACCAGAACGGCTTTGACTCCGTTGACCAGCGCAATGCAGAGGGGTGGTCTCCGATGTGCTACGCGGCTTTGGATGGAAGACCCCTCTTACTTGCAGCGCTACTGGATAATGGAGCCGATGTGAATGATCGAGTGACGCAATCATCGCCGACCAATCCGTTTGGGCTGTGTCCTCTTATCCACATCTGCGCTTTCCTTTCACATAATGAGGCCCTTCAGTTACTCATCGATCGCCGGGCCGATGTGAAGGCAAGGGACGGCTATTCCACCACAGCCCTTGCTTGGGCAGGATTTTCGGACAACGTCGCAGGCATCCATACCCTAATCGCCGGCGGTGCAGATCCGACAATGTTGGACATGATTGGGTATGCGCCGTTTGCTCTGGCCAGCTCAGCAGGCGCTATTTCATCCATGAATGCTTTGTTGCCTTACACACCGCGGCAACAAATTGATAAGTCGCTATTGTTCACGATGCTGCAAGGAGGAGGTTCCGCTCAGGTGGTGTCGACGTTGGTCGCTCTCGATGCGGATGTGAACCATCAGGCGTCTACTCCACTGCTCAGTCCTCTTGGCATCTGGTTTCTTTGTCATAGTTGGGTGACATTTTACATTTTTATGGGTACTTGAACCCAATAAGGAATAAAAGTTTAGATGTTTAGTCCTATCCCAACCATGAACTAGGTTTGGGTGCCTGAGCCTTCGGCATCGGATGAGCGAGTCTAAGTTGAGTGCATATGCGTACCACTACGAGGGCCTGACACCTCTGATGTGCAGCGTTCTTACCAGCTCCTAGGTGGCAACTTGGGAAGCTTTTGAATTTCCCTTATGGCTCCTATAGAGGTACCTATTCATAAATACTTTCCAAAACTACAAGCCAGGCTCCTTTGAAGCAACAGCCGTGCTCTTGGGAGCGGGGGCGCGGACGGATCTGCGGAACGCACGTGGCAAAACTGCGATCGACCTGGCCAGGGAGATTTCGGCTCCACATCATATCGTGCCTTTGTCAGAGTTGGGTAGCATTTTACATGTTTACGGGTACAAAAATTCACTAAGGCAAGGAAGCTTATACTTTCATAGTATCACTATCCCAACGATGAACTAGGCGCAAGCTCTTGCAGATGAGGGAGATGCGCGAGACAAGCTAGTGCAGGAGGTGGCTGAGTTCATCGACAAAATGGAGTCGGAAGCGTTGTGATGCTTGCAAGCCGCAAGCCGCAACCAGAACGTCTGTTTTAACAGCGATGGCCTAAAAGGGACTGGCTGGACCGAAACACATAAAGGCAGAAGATACACTAGGGGATCAAGCTAGCCGGCAATCACGACAAGACGCCCGATCACCTGGGCAGCGTTTGACCGAGCATAGGGGAGAAGACCTGCTTAGATAGCAGCAATGCGGTAGACGCCGCTAAAGTCATGGTCCTACTCGAAACGTATATATACATATATATGTATGTATGTATGTATGTATGTATATATATATATATATAAATAATATTTAAAGCAACATGTCCATCATCCTGATAGTCTGAATCTGGAGTGTCTTGCGGAAGCGGCCAACCCTAAACCCTAAGCCGCCAAACCCTAAAGCCCTACGAACCCGAAGCCATAAGTTACGAGATCCGCAGTTGAAACAACATACTGCGGCTAAAGGGGGGTTGTATAGACTACTTAGGGGCACTTAGATTTTTTTAAATATCTGGTTATTATAACCCCTAAGAAACAGCTAAAATTCTAATTTATGCTAGGTTTCTAAGTTCAGTATAGTAGAAACGAGGTGCGCGCTACACGGTGGCACGAGAGTCGAGGAACGTTCAGCTTAGGCTGCAGTCGACAGTTTAGAGATTATGGTTTAGGGTTGAGGGTTAAGAGTTGAAGGCTTAGCAGGGTTGAGGGCTCGGGTTTAGTAGAGCTTAAGGGTTTCGGGAGTAGAGGGGAATGCCAGCGACTTTCTGTTTAAAGGTGTAGACCTTTCACATTTTTGCATGACCAATATGGAATAAGAGGGCCTGGGAATTAGGGTTGCCGGAGCAGTTGCCAACATATTCCTCCGGGCGCAGCCAATCACATCGTGGTCAAGTGCTTCGAGTTGTCGTAGAGGGCAGCTCCAGCACAAGAGTACGGAAAGCGCTGAAAGCGCTACTTTCGGATTCTTTAGTGTTTCACCGCAACCCAGACTTAGCAACAGTATCTTGTCACGCAGGTAACTGATGATAACAGTATGATCTTCCTGCCAGGTTTATTCGTCATGTTGCTGAGCTGGGAGTTTCCGAAATCAACCCTTCGAGATGGACCTGTAGGGTACTCTGAGAGGACCCCGAAGAAGCGGAGCCAAACCCGAAACCTTAAAAAAAATACCGGACCCGAGCCTTCCACGAAACCACGACGAGGATGTCCAGTAGTACCCGTATTCCCTTTTTGTAGTCCTAGGTTCCTTACAAGATTACCCAATACCAAAAAGGGAGCCCTTCTTGTTCCTAGGTTACTGGGCATCCTAGACAAAGAGCCCTTCACTGGTTGCTTACAGCTTTACAGCAAGAGACTGGTTTTTGAGTGAAGGGGTCTCGACACAGCCTGCCCTGAACCCCTAAAGCCTAAACCGCTGAGCCCTTATGAACCCTAAACTCCTAAACCCTAAATCCCGAAACCCTAAACCCCTGAACCCTAAAACCTTATTCCGGAAGCATCTTTCGGAAGCTCCCCGATTGTCGCAGATGCCTCGAGCTCAAGACATGTTCAACGTTCGGCGCGCGCAGATGGGCCGAACTTTTGCTTGTGCGCTTCTTGTGTACTTACGGTGTTTGGGGTCTGGCAGGTATATACTCTATAAAGGCTCCAAAGCGTGAAGGAACAGATGGGTCCACGGAGAATAGCCCGCGATTGTGCACGTGTTTCGGGTTGAGGGATGATGTTATATACCCTGCTGTCTCACGACAGCTGTATGCAGGCGGTTCCTTCCCATCTGCGTAGATAGAGTCGGCAGCAAAGCTGGTTGAGACTATGGTTTTCCTTGCCTTCGTGCCGACATTTCTCCCGAACGAATTGAACAAGAGGCTTCAACATAGAACGCGGGCCGGCCACACAGAAGATCACCGTTTCTCTGTTTTGCGCGTGTGCCAAGTGGGCACTGGCACTGATTCGGAGGATGCTGCAGCAGTCACATCCCCGACCAAAGGATCTCAGGTGTGCCGCTGTCCATACTATTGGGGCCTAGCTTAATTGCCAATACCATCGAAGTTCCTTATGAGACTTAGAGTATAATATACCCCAACACCTCAGTCAAATTTGTAAGGTCCCAATAGTACCCTTTTTCCCACGGCCTGCCCGAATGGAGTTTTGGCAGCTGCGGAGTTCATAGCTCAAGACCGAATTCAGCTGAGTCGTCGGGGCGAGGTCCTAGGGGCATCTAGGGTTTGGGGTTTAGCCATCGGAATATGGGAGTTTCCGAACATAGGGGACCCTGTAGGATCCTTATTATAAGGACACCAAAATAAGGTACCCCTTATTGCCGGAAACTCCCATATGACAGTTTGCGGAACTCTCGCGTCCGACCCTGGTCCTGTTCTGTACCTTGCGACATGAGCACAGGCAGGACCACACGAAGAGTCCTGGAAACCGACGTTTTTTCGGGACTCGCTCATTGGGATTGGGGGTCACGGCTTTGAGCTTGATTGGTGTTTGGGGTTGAAGGTTTAGACCGCCAGAGCTAAGGCTGTGTTTGCAACATGTGGTTTCAACAGGTGTGCAAGGGGCCACGAATGATCTTCACTGCAGGAGCTGTCATGCACGTTGTACCCTGCAAGCTCAACCGGGCTTGTTGGACACAGCTTTGCATATGTTCCCAAGTCTATCGCTGGTAGACTTTAAGCATTCACCCCTGAGAGAGGTTCCAGAGCATTGTAGGAGCATACTACTACTACTACTACTACTACTACTACTACTACTGCTGCTGCTGCTGCTGCTACTACTACTACTACAACTACTCCTACTGCTCCTACTGCTCCTACTACTCCTACTACTCCTACTGCTCCTACTGCTCCTACTGCTCCTACTGCTCCTACTGCTACTGCTACTGCTACTGCTACTGCTACTGCTACTGCTACTGCTACGGCTACGGCTACGGCTACGGCTACTGCTACTACTGCTGCTGCTGCTGCTGCTGCTGCTACTGCTGCTGCTGCTGCTACTACTGCTACTACTACTACTACTACTACTACTACTACTACTACTACTACTACTACTACTACTACTACTACTATCTACTACTACTACTACTACTACTACTACTACTACTACTACTGCTACCGCCGCTTTTGCAGAACCTCTACACCACCAAACCTCTTTGTCAGAAGAAATAAAGGATATAGCCTACATATGGTATAGCAGAGTGCGGTTCAGAACGAGGTGTTTCTGGATGTTAGGTATACTGGTATAGCGGTTGTGGTGCATTTTCCGGGGTCTAATAGCCACCACACCCTCAACGGTTGTCCTCAAGCCCGGTCGGCGACCCCTCGATCGTTGACGATGCTCCAAAGGCTCCTTCCATGGTCAGAGAGAGGATTTGTTAGCCTTTGCGCAGATGGGAGAATCAGAAGGTTGAGGGCTTTCTGCATCATGGGCCTTGCGGTTAAGACAGAATACAGCCCAGACTTTCCTTGACTCGAGACAGCGAGGGAACAGCTAGGCTCGGGATCTTTGCAGTCAGTGTTTCCTCATCTGCGACTGGATGGCGGAACCCGAAACCAACCTTATAGAGTCTGAGGAAGTTGCAGAGGTTTTTGCAACCGGCGTTTTGCGAACATGCTTGTCCCTGTATGCTAAGCTGTCAGGTGAAGCATTTGTTGGCTGAGGAGCTCTTCTGACAGAACACCAGCCGACCGCGCAGAAGGTGCCTGCTTGCCGTTTGTGGATTGGCAGCTGGCGATTCGGTGATATGTAGTTTGGACTTATATGCTTTTGCCTTATGGCATAGGCATGAAGCCTTTGAGATGTTCGCCGTTTCGATGCTGCCAGATCTGCCATCCGCCCGCGAATTGCTATGATTTTAGCATCAGTATTTACTATTGTTGCTATTGCTTTTATTGGTCTGACGATGTTTACTACTATTATGTTTGTTGGTGGTACTCTGATTAATCAGCTTCGGCGTGCCGCTGTCCACGTCTCTCCCCCGGATTGCCGGAACGGAGTTTTGGCAACTTGGGAAGTTGATGAAAAGGAGCAACGGCACCTCTAGATTTTTCAAGCGGATCTGCCCCAGTACGGATCAACATCGCAGAGACAGTAGCCGGAGTAGAGTTGTGAGTACAAGATCAGCATCAACTTTCAAAGTAGTCAGTATTCGTAATGGTTGCAATGCGTCCAAAAACAGCTTTCAGGCTTACCTGTGGCAAGCCGCCATTTTCTTCGTCTTGATAAACTTGGCAGCTCCGGGTCGATGCAAAAAAACCGCCTGCATCGCTTCATGGTGCAGCGAAGGGCCTGCAGGATCTTGGGGGTAGGGTTTAGGGTTTAGGGTTTAGGGTTTAGGGTTTAGGGTTTGGGATGGGAGTAGGAGGTGTGTCCGGATTTTGGGAATCGGCATGTGTACCAAGCTCTTCACCCCGAAACCTTTAACCCGAGAGCCCCAGACACATGTAAACTGTCTTTAAGATAAAACCCCTACAGCCCAAGACCCTTAAAGCCCCACACCTGGCCAATGTCGTCTTCGGAGGCAGAGCATCCCAAGCAAGCCCTTCTTACATTCTTCGACTGAGCCTAGCTCTTTTCTTCGGGTTACGGTTCTTGCTCGGAGCGTAGGGTGTGTTGTTGGGAGTGCAGTTTTGTGATTTAGAGCTTGTGGCTGGGAGCTTTTGCTTTCGTTTTTTTCTCATAGGGTTTGTAGGGTTTAGGCTTTTGGGGGTTTGAAGGGGGTTTAGGGTGTAGGGCTTAGGGGTTTAGGGGTTTAGGGTTTAGTTAGGTCTCCAGGGGTTTGAAGGGGGTTTAGGGTTCAGCTTAAGGGCTTGCAGGTCGCAGGGGGCCCGGAAGTGTCAACCATGTTAATCACCTGCTAAGGCGTTGCGGCGGCGTTCCTCTACTACTTCATGCGCCTCATCGGAGAATGTCTGG